CGAACTATAGAGGAAGCTCTTAGTCTGGATATATTATCCCAAGTTCTTAGACTGAAAGTTGAACAATTCAGACAAATCTCTAATGCGGTATCCTTTATAAAAGTTAAATCCTTTAGTTGATATTTACAAGAGAACAGACCAGACCAGGGGGCGGTATTATTTCTCTCTCTGTGTTACCTCTGTGTATCTCTCACCTTACTGGGTTTGGAGATTTTTTTTGAAGAGACAAGGAAGAATTTAACCTTTTAGATATGTTCCTCAAAAGAAACAAACAAAAAACAACCCCCCCCCCCCAATTTAGGACATGCCTTGTAATTCAGAAGTCATAACTTCTCTTGTTGTATACAGTAAGTTATGGTTTAGTCTCTAAACTACTGGTTTTCAAATTAATTTTGGTAGACATTTCTTATCTTCATTCTGACACTTATGTCCACATACCAGTAAGCCTCCTAGAAATTTAAATGGTACTTGGGTATTTAAATTTGACCCAGTTTTCAAAAAGTGATTTTTAGTTGATCCTGTAAGTGGCCACAAAACTCCTTAGATGTCTAGGATCAGTAAACACCCGCATTTTGGCCTGAAAAGATCCCTGGGCTCCTTGACTTAGGCTGGTGCATGTGTTTAGGCAGAATCCAAATCAAATGTCTAAGTGCATAACTCCATACCTAAGCTTTATTATGATCCAGTTTGGTGCTGAGAAGTTCTAGAGTCTGCTGAAATCCCATATCTCTTAGACTGGTGACAAATGTTCATTTAAAGGTATGATGGGATCTGATTCCTGAACCCAACAGTTATGCCTCCTGCCATGCACATGTGCATGGCAGGAAATGCAATTTTGGGATCATGGATCAGATCCCAGTTGCACCCTAATGCCAGTGTAGGGGAAACCTGGGATTGTGGTCTTGTGCTGTCCCTGCACTGGCAAGTTGAAAGCTGGGTGCTTAATAGTCAGCTGACTGTCGGCTCATGGGAAATGCACTGGGGCTACTTGAGACTGGTGTGGTCCATTCGCACATTCTATTTAAGGCACAATAGAAACCACAATTATTACTTGTATTTTGTGAAATAATTTTGGAACTTATTTTCTGTTCTGTGGCACCATTAATTGCCTGCATATGCGGCTGTGTTACTGTTTAAGATGTGATTAACTGCATGAAAAGCATTTAAATTGTTTAAGTTTCTCTCTTTAGAACTTGGCCTCCTGTGCCAGTGAAATGACAGGCATATTTCAACAGTAATATTTTTATTTTTGTGAGGATTTGGTGAAAAATATTCTGAGTATAGCCTAGCCTTTTCCCCTGCTGTCTTTTTTTTTAAAGGTGTTTGGCTCCATAACAGTTGGGAGAATTGTTAAACTTGTACATAAACAAATACTTTTCCTCCTTTCTGTGTAATGACACTTTTTTTCCTATTTCACTTCCAGGAAGTTGCAGTGTCTAATTATTAATTTTTTTTCACTCCTTCTGTTTCAGGAATGGAACATTACAAAGCTTTCCATTGAATATGATTCTGAGCCATTTGGGAAGGAGAGAGATGCAGCAATTAAGAAGTTGGCTAGTGAAGCAGGAGTGGAAGTCATTGTTCGAATTTCACATACATTGTATGACTTGGACAAGTAAGTTACTGTTACAAACATTAAAGGTGCCTCTTATGCAGTGTTGTGTCGTCATATACTGACTTTTCTCCAAAAAAGCATTTTGTAGTTCTCCAAACAGGAAGCAGAAACAAGTTTTAATCTTTTCCCCCTATAAAATAGTTCCATCTTTATTTCCATACTAAGTAGAATTCTGCAACTATAAAACAGGTCAGAGAAGTTGCAATCTGCAGTGCTGTTCTTACAAATAAAATGTTTTAATCTCACCATTTTTGGTATATAAAATGGGTGCTTATTGTCCTTGTAGTGAAATGATTCACATTTTTTACTAAACCTTAAAAAGTATTTATTACATTAGAGAGAGTGTGTGTGTTTTCCTCAAGGTTTATATACTAACTCTTAACGTTGCTTCACAAGATCAGGCTGATAAAGAACCTGCTACAAATATTAAAGGTCTGGATAGTTTTCTCTTCTGTTACAATCTTTAGTATGCAAATAAGATAATTACAGTCCCTTCTCAAGTGAGATAATTTTGCATCAGTTATTTTGTCAAGCATTCCATTTGTCAATCACACATCCACTAAAATGATTGGGGATTATGTGATCTCTGTATTACCTTACATAACATCTTATTTTATAATTTTCCAGAAGCAACTGTTTTAATGGATTAGTTTTAGCTCCCTGTTATATATTCATATAATCCATAAAACATTAAAAAGCATGGGTCCCTTGGTAGATGTTGGCAATTTTATTTATATTATAGTTACCATTTTCATATTATTATGGATAATACCAAATTTATTTTAAGCTCTTAATAGGTTGTGTGTGTTCTTTCAGTCTGTTGAACCCAGTGGCTGTCTTCCTCTAATAGTTGAGAAACGTTTTAAATGATTTCACCTATATAGTGTGTTTCTACTACCTTGCTTTAACATTAGGATATGTTCATTTAAACTGTTTTGTTGCTTTGAGGCACATCTGAAGCTGATCAGATGTTTTAGATAAAAAGTGGAGCACAGAAACTGTTTGCTTTTTAAGCACAGGATCATAGGAAAGTAGGGCTGGAAAGGACCACCTCATAAGGCCATCTAGTCCAGTCCCCTGCTCAAGGCAGGATCACCCCTGACTAAACTATCTCAGCCAAGTGTCTGTGAGACCTACTGTTGAAAACTTCCAAGGATAGAAATTCCAGTTTCTTTACATAGCAAGTTCCAATGCTTGATTTACTTTTTATAATCAGAAAGTTCCTTCCAATCTAAATTTCCCGTTGCAGTTTGAGGCCCTTGCTCTTAGTCTTGTCCCCTAGGGCCACAAAGATGCCATCTCCATCCTCTTCATAATCGCCCTTCAGGTATTTGAAGACTGTTATCAAATGCCCCCCTTCCCCCTCAGTCTTCTCTGCTCTGAACTAAAAACTCTAGTTCTTTCAGCCTTTTCTCAGAAGATTTGCTGAATAGTTCAGCCTTCTCTGCATCATCCACAACTAGACTGCCTTCTGTATTCCATAAGGGGTCTGTGGTTTCTTTGGTCTTCCTCTCACTTTTGACATACTTCTAGAATCCCTTTTTATTGCCTTGTATGTCCTTTGCCAGCTGCATCTCAAATTGTGCCTTGGTCTTTCTAACTTTCTCCCTGCATGCCCATGCAGTGCCATGGTACTCTTCCCTAGTGCTATGACCAAGATTCTGCTTTTTATAGGACTCCATTTTTGAGCTTCAACTTGTTGAAGAGATTGCTTTCTAGCCAAATTGGCCTCCGGTTATACTTCTCATTTTTTTTTCTTTGCTTTGGGATAGCTTGCTCCTGCACCCTTAAAAGGGCCTCCTTTAAAGTACTCAGCTCTCTGGGATTCCTTTTCCCCTCAGACTTGCTTTCCAGGAGATCCAGCCCCCAGTTCTCTGAGTTTGTTAAAGTCTGCTTTTCTGAAGTCCAGCATCCTTATTTTGCTCCTCTCCTTCCTTCTAAGCAACTTTCCACCTTCATATTCTCAACCACTGCCTTCTTGCTTCTGAGCAATATCAAGAAGAGCTTCCCTTCTAGTTGACCTCTCTACCATATGCATCAAAAAGTTACCCCAACAAACTCCCAAGAAGTTTCTGGTCTGGTTGTCCACTAGGCCTGTGTGCAGCTTTGGTTGCTGATTCAATTTGGTGGCCAAATCTCTGCATCCGAATCGAATTGGGAGACCCTTTAATCTCTACAAATCGAATTGCAACCCTCCAAATCAATTTTGAGACATTCGGAAAGATCCGATGATTCGGACATAAACACGGCTTTAAATGTTTTTCTACATACCTCAAGGTACCAGGTAGCTCGTGAACGCTGAGATGCTAGCGTGGATGGAGCATCCCACAGGAGGGGAGCCAGGGGGGGATCCCACGGACTTCTGGTCCGCTTCTGGGTCCGCTGGGAGCACGCTGGGGGGGGGCTGCTTCTGTGGGACGCTCCATCTGCCTCACCATCGCATCATGCACAAGTCGTGCCTGGTACCTTGAGGTATGTAGAAAAAACATTTAAAGCTGTGTCTGTGGCCAAATCGCTGATTCTCCGAATTGGCATCAAATCTTCAGAGTGGATTTGGCCAAACAAATCAGGACAGTGATCCGAATCAAATCGAATCACTGTCCCCAATTTGGGCCAAATCCAAATTGAATACAGCCCATTTCGCGCACCCCTATTGCGCACCACTGTTTCCCTTTCAGTAGATGTTCCAATAACTGAAGTCCCCCCACCCCCTGAGAAACAAGTCCTGCAATTTGAAAGCCTCCATTTAATGTTTAAAGAAGGACTTGTCCACTTTAATAACTAATATACAACAGGCACCATTAATAGCATCATTTTGTGCCAAATTGCGAAGTTTCCTTTACCAAATAGGGCAAATATTGCAGTAATGCTTTTTTTGCAAGTAGCAAGTATAAACATTTTAAAGGTCACTTGCTATGTGTCTTTACAGTTGTTTTGGTTTTCTCTTCTCTTGCTGTATGTCATCTGAGGTGATGTATTTTTATTTCATCATTAATTATTAGTATTCATTACTTATTCACTGTTCAGGGATGTTCTTCAATCCATAAATTGGGATTAATCCCTTTGGTTATGCTCAGTAAGTGCTTCTGTGTCTCTAATGGCAATGGAGTGGTAGAATTAAGATTCAAATTGTCTGCAATAGCATATGCATATATAAAAGTAATAGAAATCAAACTGCAGATAAGAACATGTTTCTTGTGTATAAAGAATGTAATATACAGTTGCATGGAATACAAACATTTCCTTTTTCTCTTGTTTCTTAACACAGAATTATAGAATTAAATGGAGGACAGCCACCTCTTACCTATAAAAGATTCCAGACACTAATTAGTAGAATGGAACCACTGGAGATGCCAGTGGAGACTATCACTGCAGAAGTAATGGAGAAATGTACCACACCAGTTTCTGATGATCATGATGAGAAGTATGGTGTTCCATCGCTTGAAGAGCTAGGTATGTTGTCTTAAGTCTTAAATACTTTTATTGTACAATGTTAAAACAGTGCTAGGTGATATTTAGGCTTAAGCCAAATCAATCAATTAAAATTGCTACCAACAGAACAGCCAGCAATGACCACAGGAAACCTAACCCAACAAATGCACAGTCAAAATTTGTCAAGGGATCTTTCTTTATTATAGAGCATAAAAATTACAGTTGATCCGGTTACAGATGAGCAATGTTGTTACATGGTTTGGTAGAACTTATTTACACTGACAGCAAGCATTGTTTTGACACCATTGACATCCAGCTAGATTTAAGATATTACCAAAAATACAGTGCAGCTGTTGTCCAGGTATACTAGTTATTTGTGCTACCGTATAAACAAATAAGGATTTTTCTTCCTGTTTGACTTCATTCTTCAGGGTTTGATACAGATGGCTTGCCTTCTGCAGTGTGGCCAGGGGGAGAAACGGAAGCTCTCACACGGCTGGAAAGACACTTGGAAAGAAAGGTACATGCAGGTCTTGGCAACTAAAAAGTAGCATTTTAAACATCTTTAATTACTTTTATAAACAGACCAAAAAACAAGACCAGCATGCTGCTCTAGGTTGAAGTAGTAGTGTTATAGAAGCTGGTGAAATTTAGATGCAACTTTTATAGAATTTGGACAAAAGAAAAATGATAGTATCTCATGTAATTTCTTAAAATGTATGAACACTTTTCAGTGGAACTCTCTACTCAATTGCTGGTGTAATCACAAAGATTTTCTCTTTATGTGTACATGTGGTCATCTCATCTAATATAATAGTGTTCCATTTCTTTGGTTTTTTAAGGCTTGGGTAGCAAACTTTGAAAGACCACGGATGAACGCAAATTCCCTATTGGCAAGTCCAACGGGGCTTAGCCCTTATCTTCGGTTTGGGTGTCTGTCATGTCGTCTCTTCTATTTCAAGTTAACGGATCTGTATAAAAAGGTATGGATGCTACATAGACAGCCACTGAGTGTTATGCAAGATAAATTTTTTTTTACCTTTTCCCAACAGCAAAATGTCTTTCTTTTCATGATGGCTTTCAGGTAAAGAAGAACAGTTCCCCTCCTTTGTCCCTCTATGGCCAGCTTTTATGGCGTGAATTTTTCTACACGGCAGCAACTAGTAATCCACGTTTTGATAAAATGGAGGGAAATCCCATCTGCGTTCAAATTCCATGGGATAAGAATCCCGAGGCTTTGGCCAAGTGGGCAGAAGGCAGGACAGGCTTTCCTTGGATTGATGCAATTATGACACAGCTCCGTCAAGAAGGCTGGATTCACCATTTAGCCAGACATGCTGTGGCATGCTTCTTGACTCGAGGTGACCTGTGGATTAGCTGGGAGGAAGGAATGAAGGTACAGTTTTTTTCATTGAGTTTCTGGTGTATATAAGTGAAAATTACAGTGGGCATATGTTTTAATAATGTTATCAAATACAATAATATATGTTTTAAAGTTTAAACTGTGTCCAAACTAAAAATGGGGTAGTTCTAGGAGTAAAGCGGACCTGAATTTTGTGGGGCTGAGAAACCTTTTGTGTGAGTCTGGATATATTTTTTTGACTCCTAGTTCTAGGTATCCTAGCTTGAGGCCTATGATTACTTACTTATCATTTTAAAACAGTAAATAAATGCAAATGACTCTGATAATAGAAATTTCTTCCCCGTATTTTCTCTGCTGGTTAGGGAGAAAAAGATGGGAATTGAGGGGGAAAAAGCTAAGTGTTGAGGACACTTGGCACCTTTCAGTATCAGAGCTATATATATCTATATCTATAGATATACAGTATATATCAGGCAGTGTGTTTTGGCAGTCATCTTAACTAGTCCAACTAAGTGCTAGCAGATCTTCATAAAACTGGACATATGGCAGTTCAAAGTTGGCTCAGTCTAATTTTAATTATTGCTATTTGTTCAGACCTAAGTTACAGTGCAGTCGCATCTTTTCTTATGATAAGGAGTAACAGTTGTAAACAAATGCTTATAAGTTTCTGCTGCTTGGAACTTGAGAACAATATATTTACTGCCAATGTTGCAAGCTTCTTGGGTTTTTATTCTTCTAACCCATCAGTTGTTATAATCAATCCTTTCTCATACACTTTTTTCAAATGTAAACTCTTGGGTATATAAGTAATTGCATGAAAAATCCAAAGGCAGCTTGTCTTTTGCAAGTTATACACGGGTAACTTTGGCATACCTGTATACCCAGTGTTTGTCTGTCTATATTATGGAAGAAAACTATCTTCTTACTCTTATAATACCCTAAAGAACAGAGCACTAGATTTGTGCAGTTCATGGGGGTATAAGGTATACTTCCCTAGGCCAGCAAGAATGAATCTGTCTATCTAAGGATATGCACAGATGAGCAAATTGTGCCAGGTTACAAATGGGGAGAGCTTGCCAGATGCCAGCTGCTCTGTGGTAACTATTTCATGTATCTACTCCTGTCCCTGGGTTCATTGCTTTTACTGCAAATGAAATGGTGATGAGTTACTATAATTTTTAGCTTCTGTTTGCTGTAGGCTAGGGAACAGTTATTGTGGAGCAGCTGATAGATGCTAAGTCTCCTCTCCCCCTGTCAGCTTGGTGTATTTTTTTTTCTGTCCATACTCTAATTCTGTGAATTACATTCCAAAATCTTAGCAAGTATGATTAAATGGTAGCATCTAGTGGAGTAGTTGTGTACTGACATACTAATTGCTCTGACATACTAATTACTCTTCTCTCTAAACTTGTTACACTCACAGCTACATTGGTTTAAAAACATGTTTCGCTTCTATTCTTCTGAACACACAACTTAACTAGCAATAACAAAGCCATAATTGTAGGGATTAAAGTAAGTTTTTTGGGGGGTGTTGGCTTTTTTTAGCTTTTGCTATCTAGTTTAAACAGGACTTCTGTTAATTTAGACTGATTGTGTCATATTTTCTAGCTCTGAGGTGCCCTAACAGTGAAATGGGAATTAATTATTAAGGTTAGCAATAAGATGCATTATTTTTGCTCATTAGCACAACTTTGTCAGGTTTCTGGTAAAAAATGTTAATTCTAGCCATTGGTCATAGTAGCAGCATATGTCAGGATATACAGAGGGGGGGTGGAGGAAGACACAAACTGCATGGTTCTTTGTGAACCATCTTGAGATAATGTTGGTTTTTAAAAGAAAAGCAGGAACATGTTGACTACCTTTTAAAATATGTACTAAATAAGAATGTTCAAAATGTATATTAACTTTCCAAAACCATTTTAGCAAATGTTGTCACCATTTCAGTATTCCCTTTCAAAGTTCAAGACTTTTTTCTCTTTGAGACTACAATCCTTTATGATCCTTCTGAGCAGAGTCCTCTGAAAAACCAGATATTTCACTACGAAGATCTCCCACAGCTACCATCCTGTCTCCAACCTCTTGTAATTGAGAAATTAATGATCACTAAGCTCCAACAACAAGTGACATTACCCAGCATCCTGGATGCCTCTGTCAGGATTCTCATCAGGACATGATTAAAAAACTGTCCTATTGGAATTCAGACTACCTTCCTATGGCTGTGGACACAGGTAAGAGCTCCATACCTGCAAAGCCAGACCTCTTTGTAGTCTTTGGTGGACCACAGGGTACTTCTATTATGTCTTGAAGACACTGTAGGAGTGGATGAGACCTCTAGTGCTGGGCCAGTCATTTGTCCAGCAGAACTCAGAATGGTGATGGGTCATGTCTCTCCAAAGCCTTCATCCTCACTTTTCTTCATAGCTACATGAGACCTCTGGAATGGACCTTGAGGTTACCATCAACTCTATCTGCCAGCAGTATGTTGATGACATTTCATAGAAATCTTATTCTCAGTTGATGCAGTCATGACTGCACCGAAGAGTCAAGAATGTCTACAGGAAATTTAGCATTTTGATAAAGAGCAGCTGACTATAGTTGAGCCATGGCAAGACTAGATTAACACTTGTTAGAGCAGAAAACTGAAGAGTTGACCTAATGCATTGTCTGTGCCTTGAACTGGAATCATAGTCCTAATATATCGAGGTGTGATGAAAAGCCTAATGATCCTAGTTTGACTTTTCTAAGCATGGATGATCAGTTTGCAAATATGGCTTTTCTTCCTTCCTCCAGCTTAATGGACAACATTTATCCTTTTTTTTTCCTGGACAGTGACCTGAACACAACAACAGTTAGTTGTATCTGTTACCTTCTGATTGACTTTCTATATCTCATTGTATCTGAAGACGATATGCAGGCTCTAGTCTAGCTGGTACTCAAAGTTGTCTGCCTTCTCCATGGTTCACATCACTAGGAATATATCAGGCTTGTGCACATGTCTTTCCACTGGTTCCTACTCAGCCTCTTAACAGAGTGAAGGCTTGATCCTGACTTTCAAAACAGTTAATAGATCATGCCCCAGCTACATCAAGGACTGGGTTTGTGTCTGCAAACAGCTGTGAACTACATGAGGACTGGGGTCAGTGCATTCTTTTGAAGAGATCCAGCTATGAAACAATTTTCTAGACCGGATTGGGCAAATTGAGATTATAACCGGCTCTAAGAAGTGCTAAGTCTCACTCTTCCCGAGAGAACTAACTGTTCCACCACAAACAATGCAATTCAAACATCCTTGTTTTTCTACCACCCTTTCCCTTAAACATCCAGCTCTTCCCTGCCCTCTTCCTCCCCCCCCCCCACCCCCCCCCCCTCTCCCCCCCCCCCCCCCCCCCCCCAAAAAAAAAAAATAATAAAACACACCTCTATTTCTTACTCTGAGGGATAAAGGAAGAACTTTGAGAGACTCCATAAAGCCAATTAAGGGTTTTACTATTGCTATTGAGTTGGTTTGGAAGGTGCTCAGATACTGTGCCCTTGGGTAGCAGTATAAAAATTCAAGATAAAATGTTAGTTGTCTTCATTTTTAGTGTGCACAATCATATTGTCAGGATGGCAGTTTCTTGTTTGTTTAGATGTAATAATATAATGGTTTTTGCCATTTTACTCTTCATTATAATTACATGCAGTGATCGTAATGTCCTTTAAACAACTCCATAGTCCTATTAACATAAATACAGTGGATATGAGGCTTTTAAAGTGACTTTCATGTATTTTTTTTAACTAATATATAGGAATATTTGAATATAGGAATATTTGAGAAGGACGCAGCCACGGTGTTTGCTCTGCCATAGCTACTGTTGCTTCATAGAAATCTTCAGGGCTACAACCTGGTATTCTGTTCACATCCTTACACAAAACCTACTATCTTGATTTGGTATGTGATTGGATGCAGTTCTACAGTCCTTGTTTTCATTAGAATTCTTTAGCCTGCCACGTAAGCTCTTGTTTGCTGGACTCCAAGAAGTAAAAAATGTGGAAATTCCCCTTCAGAGAATGTAAAGCTTTTACTACTTGTAACAACTGGGTTTGTTGTTGTTGTTGTTGTTGTTGTTTTAAATGCTGCCACAATTTCTGCCTCTGAATGTTTGGGCTTCTTGCACATCATCTCAAGTTCTAAGAATAAAACTTGTTGCTTTACTAGGAGGAACTGAGGGAATTGCAGTTCAGTCTTTAGTAACCTTGGTCCAAGACATTCCATACCCCCATGGATCCACTACCCATCTATTTTCCAGAAGGTTTTCAAAAGTTCATTAGTGGTGGGGGAGCATGTGCATCCAACAAGTATGACCACATGGAGGCAACGCGCTCAGAAAACGCTAACATTTACTATTCTAAGTAATCTTGTCTGCCACTGTGAACTTTATTTTAAAATAAAAGTGACTCCCAACTACCCTTTCACGAATTTCTGTGGATACATTTGTGGAAAAAGCACATCCAGTTTCTGTGCTGTGGAAATCTCTACAAGCCTAGCAAGGTTCAATGGCGCAGAAGCCCAGCATTCCCTTTAACACCATTCTTTCAATGTGACTTGAAATGTTTTTCTGAGTATTTATTTGCGGAGCGTTTTATGGATGCTATCAGATATGGGTAAATAAATCATAACACACAGCTTTTAAGATGTTGCTACAGGAAACTGTCACTAAGATGCTGACATTTTGAGCGCTTCTTGGAAGTGCATCGGAAAGATATAGCATGTTCAGATTAACTGATTCCATTATTTTTCAAGGTGTTTGAAGAGTTGCTGCTTGATGCAGATTGGAGTGTCAATGCTGGAAGCTGGATGTGGCTTTCCTGTAGTTCGTTTTTTCAGCAGTTTTTTCATTGCTATTGTCCTGTGGGTTTTGGCAGAAGAACTGACCCTAATGGGGACTACATCAGGTAAACAGTCTGTTCAGTAAATATTGTAAAACATTGTTGAAGTTACCTGAGACTTAAACATCTCAGTATTAAATTACCTTTTGTTTTTCTCTTCCCTTTTAAAAGACGTTATTTGCCTGTGCTTAGAGGTTTCCCTGCAAAATACATATATGATCCTTGGAATGCTCCAGAGGGTGTTCAGAAGGCTGCAAAATGTATGATAGGAATTAATTATCCTAAACCAATGGTAAATCATGCAGAAGCAAGCCGCTTGAATATTGAGAGAATGAAACAAATCTACCAGCAGCTGTCACGATACAGAGGATTAGGTATGGCTCTCTAGTTTACTTGATGTATTTATTTGAATGTTTATCTCTCCTTCAAGCAGCTCTGATAAACCTGCCCTGTACCATGGAGACCAGCTCTGAGCCCTATGTCTGGGGTAGTTTGGCCAACTAAAATGCACGGGAAAAGAAAAATGTTGCCCAAACTCACTTTTCTTCCTTTCACCTGCTTTTTCCCAACTTTGTTTACAATGCATTTGGTCTCTGCCTTCTCTTTAAATTGGAAATTTTCTGGGGCATGATTTTCTTTGCTTTTCCAAATTTTTACTACCGGGTATAATGGTTTTGGGGTGTGGGGAGGACGGTTGCAGCCTTAACTATACAGATTGCTATTGGTAAATACTACAGTTTATCTTGTGAGACTGATTGATTGATGTTTAGTCTTTTGGTTGCAACATAGTCATAGGGTTGGAAGGGAGTTGGAGTTATCCAACTCAACCCTTTGCACAGTTGAAGAATTTGCTGTTCCTAAACCATTCCCTACAGCTGCCTGTCTTCTCAAAAATTTCCAAAGGGGGCAGCAATTCCATAACTTTCAGGCAGCTTGTTCCATTGTTCTACAGTTTGTACAATTAGGTAGCTTTTTGAGATTTGATTTTAAACTCCTTACTGTAATTTGAACCCACTGCCTTGTATCCTGTCTTCTGTGGCAAGGAAGAACCATTTTTTCTCCATTTCCTTTATGGAAGCCCTCCAAATATTTGAAAATGCTGTCATGTCCAGCCCCTTTTCTACTAAAAAATTTCCCACTATTGTCACACAACTGCATTTGTTTTACACCTACGTAGATATGAAGTATTCTGGGATGTGTTACATGTGCACACCATATTCAGTAATTTAACTGATCTGTTATAAAATGACTTCAAGATAAGTACATGGTTATGATCCATGATGAGTATGGGAAATCTGGCCAGATGTACTGGAGGAGAAAAAATTCTTCCTAATGAAGAACTACTGAAACTTACTGGGTGGAAAATACTATGAGGACCAGAGGAAAAAAGCATACAAAATTAAAATGTACTCACTTGCTTTACCTTTAACAATGAGTTTTTATTCCTGTGGTTAGGTCTCCTTGCAACAGTGCCTTCTAACCCAAATGGAAATGGAAATGGCGGCCTAATGGGATATTCACCAGGGGAGAACGTCTCTGGTTGTAGCAGTGCAGGTAATTAGTGAAACTTAATCTGATGGAAATATTAGAATTATGGAAGTTGCCAAACTCCTACATAAGCCTTATGTGAGCATATTAGCATAAGCACTCCCCATAGTCATCGTTGTCGTCCCCCCGCCACCCACCCACCCAACACCACTGCCGTCTACCTGCCTCGAGCTCAGCCCCTGCCAGGAAGAGGCCAGCGCAGCTCCTTGGCCCTAGGCTGCCCTCGCCCCACACACAAATCAGGGGGGCACATGCTCCCCCAGGGGTGTGCACATCGGCAGGACCTGCCCCTCCCTCCTGTTGTCCCCAAAGGACAGTGTGAGTTCGTGCCCGGTGCGCTTTTGACAATAAACACATGGGTGGAGGATCCAACTTAATCTTTATTGTTTCAACTCTGCGCAGAGAGGGGTGCTTGGCGATCATTCGCAAAGCAAGCACCACCCCCTTTGGCTTGCTTCAGCCTTATATAGCTTTCTCCCACTTAACACGCTGTACCGTTACTATTGGCTGCCTTCTCTTAGCCCAGGCTCATATTACCTTAGCCACAGAACATGTCCGTACTTGTCTGGGCTTGCCTACGTTGCATTTCTTTCCCAGCGGGCAAGCATTCCTTAACATACATATACCACACCCCTCCCAGCACCAGCAAGCTGCCTTAAGTATTCAGTTAGATATAATTTGCAAAAGCTAGATAGACCATAAAAAAGACTACATCAAATCCCCCCTTCGAGGCTATGACCCTATGAAATGGGGCCATAGTCCTCGACCATTCCTTTTAGCCTCAAGAACCGTTTTGCATCTTCTCGATTCTTCTGGATTGGATCCATGACTGAAGGTTTCATGAACATCACTCGGTTGACAGGGGTAGGTATCAACTTCTTGAGTGAGTCACAGCACATAGGTACACATTGCACTCCACAACAAATCATTAGGAAAATACGTATACCTGCTACAATTAAAAGGAACATCTGCTTTAGCCATGAAAAATTAGGAAGCCAAGAAGTAAGCCATGAAAAATCAAACCCATCCTCTTGCTTAATATGTGACATAATATCCTGCAACTTCTGTACCTTTGACTCTATTAGCTCAGAATTATCTGTCAAATTGAAACAACACATCCCATCGAACTCTTCACACCCATGGTTATGTCTCAGTAACAGGTAGTCTATGGCTGCCCTATTCTGCAAC